TCCCCCTTTTTACAATAAACCTGCCCTTTTGGATATAGCTAAAGCCTCTGTCCCATGGAGAAACTCATCACATGCCACTGAAAGGGGAGCTTTGGTGAAACTTTTCTCAGTTAACACAAGAATCCCACTCTTAGAACCCAACACCTCTCCAGATCCACTTCATTAAGACCCAAGGTGCCATTCTTCTCTGAATCTGTCCCCACTCACTCTTTGAGTGTGTACCATCACCTACAATAAAGCTTCAATTCTAACTAAAAAAAAAAAAAAAAATTTAATGTGTAATTTTTCTCAGAGCACTCCTTTGTTGCATCCCTCCAAAATGATAAATAAATTTATATTTTTGTTATTCAGTAAGAGATCTTTCCCAATTTTCCCTATTATTTCTTATACGACCCATGGATTACTCAGAATGGGTTGACCTTATAAAAATCTGAGGTTCCCTAAGTATTATGGACTGAATGTTTAGAACCCCACAAATTCATACATTAAATCCTTAAACCCCCAGTATAGTTGTATTTGAAGATGTGGCCTCTACAAAAATAATTCATTTTTAATAAGACCATAGGAGTGAACTCAGATCCAATAAGACTACTTTTCTTTAAAGATACCAGAGTGCTAAAGCTCTTTCTTTCTCTCTTTCTCTTCACCCACTCACCAAGGAAAAACATTATGAGGACATAACAAGAAGATGACTGTCAAGAGCAGGCCAAATTTCCTGAGTTCTTGATCTTAAACTTTTAGCCTTCAGAACTGTGAGAAAACAAATTTATGTTGTTTAAGCCACTAGTCTGTGGTATTTTGTTGTAGCAGTTTGAGTAACTACATCAAGATATCATGTGACTTCTAACTTAATTCTATAGTAATCAGATAACGTATTCTACATGGTCATGATTTTTTTATTTGATTTTTTAATGATTCAATGAGTCAATTTTCACAAATCAACATGAAATTGAAATTTAGAACATTTGACAGGTGGAATTGAAAAGAACACTTCTGCTTGCTAATTTTCTGTCAGCATCAGCTAGCTGATAATTTAGTTAACCCATCTATGGTGATAACTTCTAAGAGATTTCTACTGTCTTTAAGTAGTGGCAACTAACAATTGGTTTTGCTTTAGCTATTTCATTTCCATGTGTAAGGGCTCATTTAATTAGTTTCGTGTTGATTGTGAATCGTGAGTTAACATTGTAGCCTAAATCCAAGCCAAACACATTGGAAAATTTGATCCATTCTTACATATCGGATCTCAACCCTTTTTCACCTACGCAAGTATTTAAAAATCAATGTGCTAGCCTTACTTTCTGCTGACGGGTGATTGTGACACTGCAAATGTATGTTTTGGCTGATGGCAGCTTAAAGTAAACATCCTACTAGTAGCAATATTTTTAAAACAAAATTTAAGTAGAAGTTATGCTATTATAGCGAAATGATAGCAGCTAGGGTTTTTATTTGGGGACAAAATACACAGAACTACCTGTTACTTTTTTTTTAAAAAAAGATTTATTTGTTTATTCATACAGAACTGGGGTACAGGCCAGAGATGCGGAGGGTGAGAGGATTCACCAGGGACAGAGTGGGGAGCAGAACAGGTAGATCGATGAAGTATACTGCTGAGGGGAGCAGCGTGTGGGCCAGGAGAGGTCTGCCACCCATGTGGAGCTCCTCCAGGGCAGGTGGGGATTGAACTCATGGGGATGTGGCTTAAGCTTCTTAGTGCAGTGCTTTAATCCGCTGCACCACCAGGGAGGGCCCTGTTACCTATTTTAAGGACCGACACTGCTGTCCCTGAGTAGAAAAAGTGAGACAGTTACTTAGATAATTTAATTCTTTCTTCATCCATTTTTTCCTACTGATCTTCCAGTTTCCAAAAGGAAGAAAACAAAACAAAGAACAACAAATTTAGTCATAGTTACTTGCAGGGTTCATACAAAACTGGTCATTTGGTTTGAATTATGTGGTTTGTTTTGCCAAGTTATTCTTACCTTCTTGTCTATGTATAAATTCTGTTTTAAGGCTGCTAGCCTGGAAAAAGCAAATGGGTACTTTTCCAGAAGGTAAGATGATTCAGCTCATCTAAACTCACCTTGGACTTTATTATTTTTTTTTTGCATCTGTTTATTAATTCAGAAATCTAAAACAGTGGCAAGTACAATTTTAAAATATATATATATATTTCTATAATTTCTGAATTACAAATATAGTATATGTCAAGGCTAAGGAAAGTTTGGCTTAATTCTTAGAACTTCAAGAAGAAGTCAGTGAATAATGATAGCTATCACTTATAAAGCATTTATGGAAGATGTGGCACTGTTAAGAATGTTCTATGTAAATTAATTGAAAATTAGCAACAGTTCTAAAAAATGGGCCTTATTAAATATTCGCACTTCACAACTAAGAAAGCCAAAGCACAACATACCACTTACTACATATTACATTCTGGATTACTGTGTTGGTTGCAAGGGTAGAGTTAATTTCGTGGCACAGAATACTGCCCAGAGGAATATTCTGTGTAGTAAGTGAGTAGAGTTAGAATTTAAAATCTGATGGTCTGGTTCTGACTTCATATTCTGATCTCTTACATAAGAGTCAACATTTCTTCTTTAGTTAGAAAGATTATAGCACAAAAATTATTTCAACATAACACTCATTAGAGTAAACTTTAAAAAAAAAAATGTATCCTAGACCTGGCATTCTTGATTTTAATCAGTTGAGTGAATGGCCTGGCCAGATTTTCTTCTGGGCAATATTCTGTACCACAAAATTAACTCTTCCCTTGCAATCAACATAGTAATCCAGAATGTAATATAAAGTTGTGGACATGCAAAAATAAAATTCAAGGAGTATCACTGCTACCAACTAAATTCATTGAACTTATAAAAACTTTTGACACCCTGAATTTGGCAGTCAATCATTAAGCAGGTTTGGGACTCCAAACATTTCGGGAATACTTTAAAATTTCTGTAATGTTATATTTGTTCCCATAAATGTGAAAAAAACTTTGAAAAATATAAATATTACAGTATTCAAACATAGATTAGTATCAGAATCTGGAGACTATTCCTCAACATCAGTGGACTGAAATCTGAGCAAATACAATTTTCCTCTCTCTGTAAGTGCTCTTCTGGAAAGGAGACTAACTGCATAATCTCAACAGCTCTGCCCAGTGCTCTAATCACTGTCTGTACTGCCAGTCTTATCTCTCCCCTTCTGCAGAGTTCCACCTCTGTGATGTACTCCCTAAACCCTCCCCTCTCCTCATCACAGTGCAGTCGCACGCTTTGTCCTGTCACCCACACTCTCATTACTCTTCAGAGCAGTGCATCCACGAGCGAAACTTTATATAGTCACTCTACCCACACCAGATGGGATATGCCTGGGATGCAATTTCATTCTACTTCTGAAAGCCCTTCCCAGAAATATTCTCTAAAAATTGATAACTGGTGTTCTTTCATAAAATTGCATGGCAAATTGAGGTCAATCTATTTTAAGAAAATAATTGAAGCTTTAATTTTTGAAAGCCTATACATAATTTTGTACTGTTTATGCTAAGAAGTATACATTGGAAAGATGAATGAAATCAGTTACCACTTTGCAAACACTTCAGAGCTGTCTATCCCCAAAAGACCTAGATTCTGCATTAAACTATAATAAAGACTTTTCAAATATGTTATAAAATTATACAGTGTAGCCTAATTATCAGATTCTTGTTTTCACATTGACCAGAGGTTAAGCAGGGCCATCTAATATTCAAAACAATTAAAACTACAACATTTCCTTTCAAGTGATAGTCTTGCCTCTGCTTGGTTGCCTTTGATGATCATGTACCCTAGCAAAGTTGTAATCTACATCTTAGATTGAGATCAAACATACCTTTTTATGATGTCTACTTTTTATCTGGGATGTTTACTTTTTATCTGCTTTCCCGGAATAATATAATAAGAATATTACCTACTTTTACACATTTTGTGAGTGCTCCCTGGCTATTGTGTGCTGTAATAATCTCCTCTGTTTAAGTATAAAAATACCCACCATTTTTAGCAGTCCTGCTTATGTATGATTTTTAAGTTCCCTCTTCTTCCCCCCCTTCTCTCTAAGAATACTTTCATTTGTCTGTGTTCCTCTAAAAATGGAGTGTTTAGAATTGAACACAGTGTTCCAGATGTGATTTTACCAGTACAAAGTACAATGCAACTATTATCTTCCATCATCTGGGGAATAAACTTTTTGATGTCATTTAACAAATAGGAGTTTTTAAAAACTAAATATTATAGTAACTGTGATATATGTAGAAATCACTGCAAAATAATTCTGAATGATGTTAAATGAAAAACCAGAATATTTTTGGTTTGTTTGTTATTTCTCTGTATGTTGTAAAAAATAACTTGCAGAAAACACAGTTAAAGGTTTGTGAGATGTTTACTTTTGTATTACTTTTTTCAGTATATTAGATATTAAGACTTAAAGTGGGTGTTGTGCCCTTTTAAGGAATAGTTACATTAGCATCCATAGCCACTTTCAACTAACTCAATTTAAAAGCAGGCAATCAGGTGCTCAGAGTGATTCTTGCCTGAACAGAATTCTATTAGAAAGGGCTTACTCAATTCAGTGCATGAATATAATAAGGCCAGCTGTTGTTGTATGGTAGCAGCACTTATTAATATCACGATTTTTCACCAAGAGAACAAAGCACATTGTTTTTGGGGGAGGGAAACATCCCAAACAGAAACTAGCATGATCTATTTTCTAATGTTAAGTATCAGTTCCTCTGAAATGAATAAATGCTTTCTGTAGTAATGATAGTGGTCATGTAAAAAATTGCCCTTAGGAAAATCCACTTGGTCCAAGATCAGACAAAGTTAAGAATCACATTTTTTCCCCAAGCAGGTGATTACTGGAAACAGTATGTAAAAATTACTTGTTCACCATCATGGCTGTAGCAGTTAGGCCAATGCATAATGAAGAGAAACACTGGCAAGTGAGATAAGGATGGATAAGGAAAGAAAACCTGGAGAGAAATTGTTTCAGGATTATGGTAAGTATAGAGAAAACTAAATAATGCCCCAAATTGGTTCAGGAGAGGGTCTCCAAAATTAGTGCCCAAACTCCCTACTTTAAGTATGGTAACAATAGCCACAAAAGATGTAAGCCGCTTGACCAAGATTACAGTATCTCAATCCAGTTAATACCCAGTTGTTAGATTTGATGGCTCTTGACTCATAATGCTCACATGATACCATTGGAGCTGCAAAAAGAATTTTAAAGGGAAGGTCCTGGGATCTGTACTCTGACCCGAAATGAGTAACTTTAACATTACCTAAATGGAGCAGGCTTGAAAAGAAATTTGGACACAGACCTGAAAAAATCTAAATGAAAAATTTAAATGAATAATCAAAAGCAAGATACGGGGTAACAGTTAGGTCCTGAATTCTTGACCTGTTTCCTTACTATCAGTGGCCTCTACCTCTCCACATCTACCCATTATAATCATATCTTGTAATAAGCTGAGTTAGACTAATGTGGATCATCCCTGGGAACAGGAGTTAGCACACAGCGATGATAACTTTCTTGTGGAAACCAGCAGCCATGACAGCACAGATGAAAGTGTATTTTTTCCAGTAGCAGTGCTTGAGGGTGTTACTAGACACTAACCCTACCATATAGAAAAATGTCTTTGGAAAATGTTTAACCTGATGTCCTCACTGCAGAAGTTTACTGGGCTCTTACTATATACTGTTATGAATTTAGACTCTCTAAAAGTAAGTTGGATTTTCAGAGTTTATCAACTTATTCAACCATAGCCACTTACTTATTAAGGTTCAAGGGACTTATTTTCCCATAGAATACACTTAAGTATGGTGTTTTTCTATTTTATTTATTTTTTACTGTGATATCAATTAAGGGTATTTCTTATCATAAACCAGTGCTATACACATACTTCAAAATATTCCCTTTTTCTGTATGCACTATACATATTTCTATCTTTTCTTTCTAATATACACTGAATTTTTTTTAAGATTTATTTATTCATACAGAATTGGGGTACAGGCCAGAGATGCGGATGGTGAGAGGATTCACCAGAGACAGAGTGGGGAGCAGAACAGGCAGATCGACCAAGTACACTGCTGAGGGGAGCAGCGGGCAGGTCAGGAGAGGTCTGCCACACCATGTGGTCACCTCCAGGGCAGGCGGGAATCGAACTCATGCGGAAGTGGCTTTAGCTTCTCAGTGCTGTGCTTTAACCCGCTGCACCACCAGGGAGGGCCCTATACACTGAATTTTTTTTTTTTAACTTTTTTTTTTTAATATTTATTTATTTATTTGTACAGAACTGGGGTACAGGCCAGAGATGCGGAGGGTGAGAGGATTCACCAGAGACAGAGTGGGGAGCAGAACAGGCAGATCGACCAAGTACACTGCTGAGGGGAGCAGCGGGCGGGTCAGGAGAGGTCTGCCACACCATGTGGTCACCTCCAGGGCAGGCGGGAATCGAACTCATGCGGAAGTGGCTTTAGCTTCTCAGTGCAGTGCTTTAACCCGCTGCGCCACCAGGGAGGGCCAATATACACTGAATTTTTAACCTACTAAATTGATTTTTATATCCTACCCATGAATTATAGCTTTCAGTTGAAAAACATTGCCTTAGCAAAATAACTTGTGTGTAATCTAGCAATTCATATGCATCCTTTTAATCTTCCTTTTATGTGTAAAGTGTTCAGTATTGTTGAATGAATCAATCATTCACCTAAGAGCAACCTAAGGTGACTTGAAGTAATAGCATAGGGTCGAATAATTCTCGGTGATAGTGAAGCATATTTTGGAGGAACTATATTGGGAAATCTGAAAACCCTCTGCATAGTAATCAGATATTGCAGTGTCTTTGCAAGATATCTTTTGACCCATGAAATGAAAGGAGACCAACATCAACATTATATTTTAACATAGTGACTCCTGTTTACATAAATAGGGACTGCTTTGCAACAATCTAATCGATGTGAGCTATTATTCAACTAATAAAGCAAGATGTACTATATACTGTATGCCTTCATTTGTGTACAAAAGCAAGGTTACATACTCATTTGTATGCTTGATAGGCATTGAGTATATCTGGAGTATAAACTAGCCACAGAGGATTATTGGGACTGCTAGGGGAAAGACATTTATTTTTCATTATGTATCCTTTTGTTTTATTTTAATCATAAATATACTGTTAAAAAAATAGTAATATATGAATAGGTGGATGGATAAGCAATATTATTAGACAAGAAAAATAGTAGAAACCAAAAGATTTCCAACATTTGGGTTTGTAAGCCGCTGCTAGTTGCAAATGATATCTGTGGGAAAAGAAGTTATAGACTCAAATGTTGAAAAACATACGTATTTGCAATAGTGATTGCTTGACATTCTATTTCTTTCATTGGACTTGACTTTATTAAGTTAGTTAATAGTTAAGCTAATAAAGGATGGTGATCCTTTATTCCATCTCTTTCCCAATATGTAGATTATCTTAATACAGGAAGAAATCTCCAAATATGTTTTCTCAGGATGATGCTGGTTTTCGGTTTTACTAGAAACAGAATTGAAGAACCATGGACAAGGAGGAATGCCCTGAGAGGGATAGGACTCCAAGAAGAGAAAACAAAGGGGCAGTCAGTACATCTTATAACTTAAAAGAGAGAACTCTGTGTAGTTTTCATACTTTATGGTCTGTAAGCATCACTAAGAGTATGCCTTAATATTTTAGCCTCTTGGGTCCTGAGGTTCTGATACAATGTGTTTTAGGAGTATTTGAATAAAAAAATCCTCTCCTCTGAAGCTTCTGGGAGAAAGCTCAAGTAAAGTCAAATGTGACAATCCCTTAAGAAATAGGCACACAGAAAAAAACAAAAAGCCAAAGATCATTTCCCCTCAACATATCACTGAGGTAAAGACTTGTTTATAAAGAAAAGTCCTGTCCGTCTTAACACTGTTAACCCATAAAGTAGACTTTCTTCAATGAGTTAGTACATGTGAAAAACAGTGCCAGACACAGGATATGGATCCAGAAAATATAATCTATTTATTTAGATTTTTTCAATAATGCATTAAAAAAGCAGTTGTTAAGGCCCTCCTGGTGGCGCAGTGGGTTAAAGCACTGCACTGAGAAGCTAAAGCCACTTCCGCATGAGTTCGATTCCCACCTGCCCCTGAGGTGACCAGAGGGCTGGCAGAGACCTCTCCTGACCCGCCCGCTGCTCCCCTCAGCAGTGTACTTCATGATCTGCCTGTTCTGCTCCCCACTCTGTCTCTAAATAAATCTTTAAAAAAAAAAAAAAGCAGTTGTTACATAGCTGAATGAACTCTTCAGGGAGGAGTTGCAAGATCTCATACTATGAGAAGTATTTCGTTACAACTTGGAGTTCTAGGCCTAAGAATGCTAGTTTTCCGGACACCAAGCCAAGTAAGTACTTGAAAAACTATACAGTATCCAAATAGTTTTTAAATTGCTGATAAGGTGCTGTTTAAAATGGAAGAAAATATTGAATTGTATCTAAATTGTCATCAATGATACATTATAACAACAGTATTAAAAGTATGTTTTTACAAACTATGGTTCTTTTATTTCTTTCATCTCAACAGATTGTTTTCAATTTTAGTTTGTTTTTGTTTGGAATGTTGATGAATACCTAGGCACTAATCCCAGTTGGAATTTAAACTTTGTTCTAAAAGCTTGAATAATGTCCTAGCTTCTGTCTTTTTTAAAGCAACAGTATTTCAGCCTGACCGTAATCATTCCTCAAACAGCTGTAAGTTTGTAGTTGGCAAAGTCCGCAAACCCAGTGAGCAATCCTAGTGTTAATACCACCTTGAGTTTCCAAACCTGGGGTAATCCTATAGATAACCTCTTGTTTTATTAAGTTCCCTCCAATCCCAAGAAAGTTTTTATTTAGTAAATATTCCAAACTGTATTTTAGAGGTCAGGAAAAAAGGAGCTATTTGTTAAGTTCAGTCCAGTATATCTCCCAGGAATTCATCATATATAGGCATTGGGCCCTCCATGGGGGTGCAGTGGGTTTAAAGCACAGCACTAAGAAGCTAAGGTCACTTCAGCATGAGTTAGATCCCCACCCCAGAGGTGATCCACATGGCGCAGCAGACCTCTCCTGATCCACCCGCTGCTCCCCTCAGCAGTGTACTACCTCAATCTCCCTGTTCTGCTCCCCACTCTCTCTCTAGTGAATCTTCTCACCAGCCCTGCACCTCTGGCCTATACCCCAGTTCTGTATGCATAAATAAATAAATCTTTAAAAAATATATTACATATATATGTGTATAGTATATATATATACACATGCATATATGTATATATGCATATATATGCAAAATACTACATATATGTGTAGTATATGTGTGTGTGTGTGTGTGTGTGTGTATTATATATATATAGAGAGAGAGAGAGAGGCATCTTCGTCTTTTAGCACTCCTTTGGGGAGTTTATCTGGTTTTGACTGTTTAAAGTCAAAATGAAAAAGAACTCACTACCTATCAAGTCAGACCATTCTGTTTTTTGAAAACTTAGTAATTAGAAAGTATTTGCTTCTGTTCCTTCTAAATGTGCCCATTGGTGCTTTGCTTACCTGGATCCATGTGTCCTGAGAGAAAAGCAGAGTGTTTCTCATACGAAGGGGGCAGTCTGCTGGCTTTATGAGCATGGACAGGATATCCCATTCTATTCTTATTCTATTCTCTACTAAAAGAGTTGGGAGGGAATTAGGCAGTTGGTTTTACTATAAATTTTTATTTAGTTGTATTTTAGGTACTTCATACCTTGAGACCTAGCAACTAAAAAATCTCTAGAAGACAGGAAAATTAGAACCTACTGGGGAATTTTCTTGAAAAAAGTTTGTATAGCTTATTTTCTTTTATTAGGTACACTTGGGTGGTAAATCATTTTTAGTGTAATTCTTTTGCTTTTCAAATAACATGTATATAATTTTTCAACAAAATCAAAACAACATGTTGACACTTTGATTGATTTGGCCAGCTAACAAGTTCTGCAGAATGTATAATTCTTCCTTGAGTGACCTGCTAGGTTTTGTGTTGATTGAAAGCCAGGAAAGTGTTTCTTCTTGGTATCATCAGTGCCAAGGATAATATTATGCACAAAGCTAGCTTCAATAAGTGTTTGTTGAATTTAATTTACCTGGACTACCATAAATGGAGAGATGACCAAGAAGTACAGATCAGAAAGTGGGCATTTAACTTACTTTGATAAAGATTTTTTAAAACTAACTTCTTATAATCTTATCCTTCTTATCAGAAATATCATATCCTCAAGGGGTGAAATTATCCTGATAACCCTTCGACAAATGATACTCAGGTAACCTCTACCTTAAAGCTTATATCCTTTTGAAATATCAGCATTCTGATAACCTCAAAACAATGTGTGTGTGTGTGTGTGTGTGTGAGAGAGAGAGAGAGAATTGACATCCTTTCCCTTCAGTGTGCACTTTTACTATGACCTAGGGTAAATGCTTTTACTAAAGAAAAAAATTTAATGATAGCCAGATGATTGGGAAAGTGTTTTGGTGTTAAGTGGTACCTAAAACTAGGAATCAGAAAAACCCAAGTCCAATACTTTGCCAAGAGATAGAGAGACATGACCCCCACTCCCAAGAGAGAAGTGGAATGGGAGGAAAACTTCTGGGGAGGCACAGCCAAGGCAACGTTGTGATTTATTTTAACTCCCCAAAACATTCTGATCTGATGACCTGCTTCATGCAGGGCTGGGGATGCTGTAGATTATACCCTAAGTGGAATTGATAGTGTAAAGCTCCCTGGTGTCAGTGTCCTTATTTGAGGACTGATTGTACTTTAATCAGATAATTGAATTAACAGTAGCACTTTATCTCAGGAAACATGGTCATTTTGTCAAAGTAAAACAGGTACTACTCATGGGAATTAGCTCTGAACTCACCCCACCCCCAATCCCACTCTGAGGAAGGGAGGGGGGGAGGGGGGAAGAGTCTGACTCAGCCAGCAACATAAACCCAATCTAGAGAGCAAAGGCCACTCTCCTCAGGCAAAGAATCAATGGCTGGGAGATCTGTTGCTTGATGTTGACATGCATTCACCAATCAAATCTGGGTTTCAGTGACAGGTTCAAGGTGGGGTAAGAAAATACAAGGCAGTGCTACAGGGGCAGAAGTATGGATAACTGGCTTGGGACAGTACTATTCGATGTCTGTTGGGTTGAAAGGATTATAAATATCATTAACTGCATTCTCAACAGAGTCCTGTTAAGATGCTAAGTTTATCATTCTTGGCATGAAGTGATAACAAAAAACAACTTTTGGCCCTCCCTGGTGGCGCAGCTGGTTAAAGCACTGCACTGAGAAGTTTAAGTCATTTCTGCATGAGTTCGATCCCCGCCTGCCCCGGAGGAGATCCACATGGTGAGGCAGACCTCTCCTGACCCGCCCGCTGCTCCCCTCAGCAGTGTACTTCATGATCTGCCTGTTCTGCTCCCCACTCTGTCTCTGGTGAATCCTCTCACTCTCCCCATCTCTGGCCTGTTTATTTATTCTGTATGAATAAATAAATCTTTAAAAAAAAGAAAAGAAAAGAAAAACAACTTTTACAACAGGAGTCACTACAGAAAACTGCTTGATATATAGTGGGCAAGAGGGGAGCTGTAGGGATGTAAGCAAGCTCCCCTTCTGGGAATTTCAAAGTCACTCTTCATCCATTCCATGTCAGAATAACAAAGATTCCTGCTATCCTGTGAATTGTGGGGTGGGAAGAGCAGATTTAGTCTTTTTATGTCTTGTTTTTATTCTCAACCTCATAGTCAAGAATGACTACTACTTACTTGGCATATTAAAATAATTTTAACTATATATGAAGAAGAGGAAGTGTTGTACTAGGTGTTTATTTTTTCCCAAATATATGTGCAAAATCTATGCTTCATTAAGGAGAGATTGCAAGTTGCTTATAATCTAATTGGAAAGCTTAAGAGATTTAAATAGCAATCCAAGTCAGCAACAGAAGAGTTATCAATCAATCAAGCTTATTATAAAAAAATAATAATAATCTAGCTTATTGTGTTAGCTGTGTTTTTTATTTGTTTGTTTTGATGGGTTAGGGAAAGAGTAACCACTTCAAGTTGGGAAGATGAAAGAAAAAGGAAGTGAGGCTTCAAGTCTTGAAAGGACTTCCCATTTTTTAATTACTGTCAAGATTGTCTCATGGATTCTGTGTTCTCAGAACAGTCCTGCAAATAGATATTAATATCCACAATCTACAAAGAAGAAAATGAGACTCAGAGGGTTTAAGTACATATTCTTTCTTGGTAACTAACCCAGTGAGCAGCAGATAGGGTGTGAATCCATGCATTCTGTAAAGAAGAAACTTGTGTGTCTTTTCTGCTCTCAATATTCTGCTACAATACTACCTCACCTGGGACAGCAGATGTACAGGTTTCCTACACACCAAGCATTTCTGGAATACCAACTGGATGTCCTACACTATCTGAATATGGAGCATAAGATCCCACAGGTTGTCAAATGACAAAAATAAAGTGACTTAGTAATGAATTTGAATGATACATGGATTGGAAGGCAGCTTTGCTTACCACTATACCACCAATAATTCAATTATTGAATTTATGGATTAGGGTACTGTAACACTCACAAACAATGGAAGGTTTTTCCAAGAGATGTTTGGGCAAAAACAATGTTTATAGAAGGATAGAGGCAGCAACTCAAAACAGGACATGATTGACTCAAAGTTCAGGTATATCCTTATGAGGCTAGTAGGTCAATCAGGAAATTAGGCTTGAGTTGAATGGCTGGTATATATTTGACCTTATTTAGAACAAGGAAACCATTACAGAATCTTGACATTTGGGGGCTGGTTGACTGGACTGCTTTTCAGGTCAAGCAGGACATTTTGCTTTATCTAAGTCGCATATGCGATTGTCCTAGGATGAAGAAGCTCCATCTACAAAGTTTTCAGCAGAATTCAGTCCCACAAGTCTGCTCTCACTCCCCATTTCATATATCAATTTCAAGTCCAGGTTGTAACCTGAGCCTCTGACAATAAATTGGAGGTTCCCACAACCCCCCCTCAGGTTTGATTTATTTGCTAGAGGAACACAACTAAGGAAAACAGTTTATTTACTAGATTACCAGTTTATTATAAAGCTGTAACTCAGGAAAAGTTAGGTGAAAGAGACATATAACAAGAGGCCTGAAGTTTTCATGCTCTCTCCAGGTGCCTCAATCTCCCAAATCTCCACATAGTTGACCAACCCAGAAGCATTCTGAACTCCATTTTTATGAAGGCTTCATTATATAGCCATAATTTATTAAACATTGGCCATTTTGTGATTTATTCAACATCTAGTCCCTGCTCTGCTTCCCGTTATTTGGGGGGTAGGGAATGTACAAGGCAGAAAGATCCCACCCTCTAATCATGGTTGGCTATCTGATAACCAGCCTCCAACCTTAAAGATTTTTCAAAAGTCAACTCATTAGCATGATCTCAGATGTGGTTGAAAAGGGTTATTACAAATAACAAGATGTGCTTTTCACTTTTATGGCTCAGAAGCTATTTTCAGGCACCAAGGACAAGACCAAATGCTATAATGAGATCATCCCAATGCTTTTATTGCTTAGGAAATTCCAAGCATTTTAGAAACTCTGTGCCAGAAACACAGCAAAAGACCAAATAAATATTTATTTTAAATCATAGTATTTTACCTTTTTTTAAAAAAAAAATATTTATGCATACAGAACTGGGATAAGACAGAGGGGCAAGGGTGGTGAGAGAAATCACCAGAGAGAGAGTGAGAGCAGAACAGGCAGCCTGATGAGGGAGCAGTGGGTGAGACAGGGGCCTGCTGCTCCATGTAGGTCACCTCCCTGGCTGGGGATTGGAATTATGCTGAAGCAGCTGCAGCTAGCTTCTATAATGCTATGCTTTAACTCACTGTGCCACCATGAAGGGGCCCTGGTTTCTATTTTTTCCCACCAGGAAGAGTCAAAAACCAATGAAAGCCTCAAGTCAGATTGAACAGTGTGAACAAGTGCAGAAAGAATTGTATTGTCAAAAAAATTCTCATTTTGAAGCTCTCCCCAATATGCTGGTCTTTGTATTTGGAGATGTGACTTTTAGAAGGTAATTGGGGTTGATGAGATCATGAAGAAGGGGCCACTCATATAGGATTAGAGCCCTCCCAGAAACATCAGAGTGACACACTTTCTCTCTCCTCCTCCCCCAACCCCCACTGCTAGGTGAAGGTGCAGAGAGAAGGCAGCCATCTACAAACCAAGAAGAAAGCAGTCACCAGAAACTGAGTCATAGACTCAGTTAGAGGACTCTAACTTTGGTTTTCCAACCTCCAGAACTATGAAAAAATAAATTTCTGGTTTTTGAGCCTCCAGTCTTTAATAATGGCAGCTCAAGTTCACTAATACCTAGGACTTATGAAGGAATCTGGGAAGTTTTTCTTTGTTCTGCTAGAGGAACCAAAAGGAATCTCTTACTCACTCCACACACCAGCGATCACACACATAGCCCCAACTGCCAGCAGCACTCATTACCACCACCAGGGAAATCAACTTCAGAACAAAGCTGACATAGAGTTGAACAGAACTGCAGGGAAATGAAGCCAGAATTCTGAGCATCCATGCCTGAATCCAATCCTGTTTTTGCATTTCCCATTATATGAACCACTATAATTTCTTATTGTTTACACAAAATTGAGTCAGATTTCTCTTAGCCTGCAGATTACTGTAGCATAGGGTTATTGTGAAGATAAAACCAAATAATTCAAGTAAAGACATTTCATGTTACATATAAATGTTAGCTATTATTTCTGGTCATGACTGGGAGGTTGGTGAGTAAGTGGAATAATGAGCAGAATTAGTCTGAAAAGAAGACCAGTAACATATAGAGAAGTGGCCTGGGATTTGCCATTTGGTAAGCCCTATTTTAGAATGTGCTTGACCATGAGGAAACAAGCAGAGCTAACACATGTGTTGAGAACTGCACTCTCTTTCCTAATCTCTATTTTTCAGCTAGGAGTTGTCCTCTGGTCCTAGCAAATCAAACAACCATCTCTGCATTAGAAACTTCCTTAAATCTTTTCTTTGCCTTGTTACAACTTTCATTAATTAGTTTCTCTGGAATGTACTATTTTATAAACTCTAAACTGCCTGCTTAATGTCTGTAGTACTTAAACAGGTAAAAAGAACAGTCACATTATAAAAGCTCATTTACTTCTTCAGTTGTAATTTTCTTTAGATTCAAATGACTTAATTGCATATTTAAGTAGAGCAATAAAAACATCTGAAAATTATCCCAAAACCACGGTGT